CCGGCTCTAAAGGAAGGCTATAACCCTGTAACTGAGTGAGGTGGCTGCCACTGAGTTGGCCTCCACTCAGGGCCACAGTGGCGCGAACGGGCGGCCTAGTCCTGCACCTTCCCCTTGATGGTCAGTTTTGACTCGGACGGCGGACCCATGGGCTTTTCACTGACGGATTTTCAGAAGGCAGCTGCTAAGCCTTTCTTCCTGATTTGTCTTCATCTGTAAGCCCCACTGACACCAATTCACTATCAGAGCAACACACAAACCTGCAGTGACAGACAGATGGTGGCTGCATGTAAGGTGCGTCAGCCACGTATTGAACCTGGGCCTCCCACATAGGAGACGAGAATTCTACCACTGAACCACCAGGAGGGCCTCTCCCTTTTTGGCAACTGGCCCAAATGTCACAGAGCAGAGGGGGAGGACGTTAGCATTCTTGTCGAGAAACTGCCAGGTCCCTGTGCAGGGTCCTCCGTCATGACACACACCACACCAGGCTGACGACAGGGGCACTGGGAAAAGGTCTTGGAAGAGCCTACTCCTCCGTGGCCCCAAAGGACAGCTCTGTGGCAAGGAAACCAACAAGCTTTTCAGAACAGCCCCGGGACCAGGGCTCTGCATGCCCGCCCTTGCTTGCCTGCCGCCGCCGCAGCAGAATGAGAGGCTCTGAAACAAGGGATATAGACCCTCCGTGCCCCAACCGGGGGAGAGGCAGCCAGCTGGCATTATGGGAAGGTGGGACTCTTGGAGAAACTGTGGCTCAGGTGTCATGTGAGAGAGTCCCTGGAGTCCTGGTGTGACCTTGAGAAGGTGACTTCTTCTTCCAGTACAGACAGGCACGCATGTCATAGCCCCTGAGTGGGGCTGTGGCCTCGGAGGAGAGGCAGGCAAACGATGGCTGCTCCCTCGGCAGACGCTCCGCTCACCCCCCACCCCCCAGGCAGCCAAGCTATTTCTGTGCCTGCACTTCACCTCGGAGACCCACGGTCCCTGCGTGGAAGCCCATGAGACAGGCCGTGGAAAATGCGAGTGGGCTGACTCTGCTCACTTCCCACAAAGGCGTCTTCTGCTGACACCTCCCCAGTCAGGGGCCCCCACCTCAGCCCCCTCCCAGTTAGTGGGCAGGGAGGCAGCTCTCGGGAGGCGTCAGCATCTGTTAGGTAACCAGCTCAGCTGCCATGCCGAGTATGATGTCATCTTGGATTCTGTGGTTGCTAGGAAAACTCTGCCTGCAATGAGAGTGCGTGGTCCAGGAGTGAGTCGAGAACAGAGTGTTCCTGAGAAGACAGGGGAAGGCTTGTTGGGCTCCCAAGCAGGAGAGCCACCTCCAGGAAGCCAGGAGGCGCTTCTCACTCCTTTCTGAAAACTGACCTCCCTTTCAAGGAGCCCCTGAGTGGCGGAAACGAGTAAGCTGACCGGAACTTGGCAGTTCAAATGCGGCCAGAGGTACCTTGGAAGAAAGGCCTGGTGATCTGCTTCCAAAAGGTCACAGCCAGGAAACCCCGTGGAGCTCAGTTCTACCCGCACATACGGGGTTGCTGGGAGTCCGCGTGGCCTGGGCAGGAACGGAGGCCGAGTGGTTATGGGTGGGTGGTGACAAAGGAGTTTTCTAGGCAGCGCCCGGATGCTCTCACACAAACCCCAGGTATGGGATGTTGGGGCCTCGGCCAGGACCCCTCCTTCCCCAGCATCCCAGGGCTAGTGTCTCCTCTGCATTTGCATGTGGCATCGCGGGAAGGAGGCCCATACAAAGCCACTAGTGTGCCTGTGGGGGTGGGGGCAGTGGAGACAAGCCTGCCAGCATGTGGCTGATGTGCCGGGACCCCGGCCTCTTCCGCGCAGCTCCTTTTCCCATGCCCGTGGGCCCACTGTGTGCCACCCACAGCAGCCCACCCTCCCGAGGCGTTTCCTGCTTCGGCCCCTCTGGAGAATTCCAACAGCCGCATAGCAGAGGAGCATGCCTGAAAGGCCCCCCTGCCCATGGTGGTGTGCTGCAGTGAAGAGCCTCCCTTCATGGAGAGGGCCAGGGGCGGCGGGTGAACCCAGCCACCCATCAGCCCCTTCCGTTGAAAGAGGGCTGGGAGTGGGCAGACTGAGTTCTCCCTCCTCCCCGCCTTTCCTGGCGGCTTGTCAGAGCTTGTCTCTGGAAAACAAGACAAAGGAAGTGATTTCATGAGTGCCTGGACCCGGATCTCAAATTCACGGTGACAAAAATAATGCGTGGACTGGGGCCATGAAGTGTCTCCACAGGAACCAGGCTGGAAACAGGCCTGGCCAGCCTCCTGTGAGCAGGTGTCTCAGGGTTTGAGCCTAGGAGACGCTGTTCAGAGAGGAAGGGCTGGTAAAAATCACAAAGAGTCGGAGCCTGCAAAGTGGTCAGGGCGAGAGTCCAGAGGAGAAAGCAGGAGCTTGCACCCTGCCTGGGGGGAGCTGCGCTGCTCCTGGCTCAGCCAGGGTTCCTGGTCGCCCCACCTCCAAGCCTTGGCCCTGTCGCCGTTGCAGGCCATCTGCCCCTGGCCAGGTTGTGCAGGGCCCCTGAAGCTCCACCCTTCAGAGGGCACCCCACCAGCAGCCCCTTCATGAGTTCTTCCCTTTGGTCTGCAGGTGCCGAAGACGTGGTGATGGCATTTTCCAGGTCGGAGACGGAGGATCGGAGGCAGTAGTCACAGCCCCCTCGGAACATCCTGGAAGCTGGCATGGACCCAAAGGTCCGTGTGGACCCGAAGCTGGCTGAGTGGCAGCGCCCCCACTGCCCTCCCTGTTCCCCCACCCCCACTCTCGGGCCACTCAGCTGGGCTGCCTCAAGGGTGACTCCGAGGTGCGATTATGATGGGCTTAATGGGATGGACTCTGTGATTGGCTACAGGAAGAAACGTTTTTTATTTTTAAATTTCGACCAACAGAAACCTTTTATTTTTATTTCTGACTCCTACCCCACCCCCGCCCCACCCCCGCCCCACCCCACCCATGAAGTTGTTCCTTGGAGAAGGCTTCTTAGGAAGCTCCGGGAGCCCTGGTGCTTGATTTAGGCTCTTTTTTGGGGGGTGGAGGGGAAATGTGAAGAGGTCTGATTTGATTGGCTGCTTAAACTGGTAATGGTTTTTGATTGGCTGGTTGGTGGGGGGGCGGCCTTTGCTTCGATTGGCTGCAGGTGTTCTGCTAAGGTCAACTGCTGCTCTACCTGGAAGGCAGAAAACAGGGTTTGGGACATGGGTTGTTATATCTGACTTGAAAAAAAGAAAAGAAAGAAAGAAACCAAGTGCGCTTTGCAATATTTATTACACACACACACAGCCTGCTGCGGCTTGTACGGTGTGGGTTTGAATTTTATTGGCTTTCGATTCCTGTGTTTGGTTTCCCATTGGCTCACCCGCGGCTCCCGTTGCCATGGAGTCACCCCACTTTGCTGCTGGCCCGTCTCTGGGTCCTGGGGGACAGGTGGGAAATGTATTTACTTTAAATGACAGTGCCTGCTTCCACCGGCAAGGAGACACCCCGCGAAGGGTCCACTGGTCAGAGCGCCGCGCCTGCAGGAGCCCTTGGTCGCCCTGAGCCACCAGCCAGCCCCAGCATTGAGTGAGTGACTGGTGGCAGGATTTATGGGTGCGGCTGGCCAGCAGCCAGCCCTGCAGGCGAGAGGATGAACTGGCTCAAGTGCCTCACTTCCTGAGGCTACACCTGGAGAGGTTTGAGGCAGTCCCCCAGCTGTGAGGCACTCCACCCCAACACCCCCCTCCACCCGCAATGTAGCAGGGGCCTCTGCCCTCCAAACCCAACCCTGGGCCTGCCTCTGGGCCCCCATCTCCATCCACGGGGGAGGTCCCCTTCTGAGGCCAGGCCGGAGCTGCACTGCCTGATCCTGCGGTCGCGTGTATGTGATGGGCACTCTGGCCTGAGGTTCACTGGGCTGCCCACACAGCCCCAGGAACGCGCTCCAGACAGAGCCATGGTCTTGAGCAGATGAGGTTCCAGCCTGATAGATGGGGTTGTTGGTGTAGGGACCTGCCCACCCCCCCACCCCCCAGGGCCCCCATCTCCTGCTTCGTTCATGGAAGTGGGGCCTGTGGGAGCGTCGGGGAAGATGCAGTCTGTCCCACATGTGACATGGTGGAGGCCCCTTTCTCACCCTGGGTATCCGGAGCCCAGAGAAGACTCAGGCTGAACCTTCCCTCCCTGTCTGTGGGCACCCCACCCCATTGAGCCCTGGGCCTGCTCTCAGTGGGTGGTTCATGTGTGCTTGGGCACCTCTAGAGCCTTGCCCCAGAAAGGGCACCCAGAAAGGTGCCCACGTCCCCAGCTACAACTGGTCTCTGTCACTGGTTGGCCAACAGAGGCCAGCAATCCCCAAGGAAGAGGACAGTGGAGACACCGCTGCCGCCCAGCTGCAGCAAGGCATCTGGCACACACACACACATACTCAATTCAGTGGCCCAGCACTCCGGCTTAGCCCCTGGGGAGAGGTGAGTTTTTTCAGTCCCCTTGCCCCAGGGCATCATGATATGTGGAATCAGGTGTCAGCACCTGTGCTGCTGGCTGCCCTCCTTCCTCCCCCCCTCCCCGTACCTGTAGCTCACAAGGGAACTGAATCCAGGTCAGTGTGTGCCCTCCACTGCCGCCATCGTCAAACCCCAGGGCTCCTCTGGTAACCGTGGCCGTCCTCAACTGTCTTTCTTCTTAAGAAAGAACATGGAAGTGTTGCTATCGTTTCTATTTCCGCTAAAAAACATACCTGTTGGAGGGGGAAAAGTTAACAATAAAGATTTTTAATAGCCGGGTGTGTGAGTGGATTTCTCCCAGAGAGCTGGGCTCACTAACCAGTGCGGTATCACGTGCCGCTGGTGGGCCCTGCCTCCCCAAGGAGCTGCTGCCGGGGGGATGAGAACACCCAGGTTCCTGGGGTGTCTGAGTGCTGGATGGGAGCGAGGTGTTTGGAAGACCTCAAATGTGTAACCAGCCCAGCTCATGGGTGCTTAGTGGGCTGGGCCCACTTGGACATGAAGATTCTGAGTACCCCAGGAGGCCCGGGTTAGTTCCTGTCCGTGTGCATGGGCAGACACACGAAGCACCCTACTGCGGGTTGTGGGGACCATCACAGGCACCCCACCATCCTAATATGACAACAGGGGCCTTAGAATGCTTGTAACAAAAGCATTCTCTCCCTTCCTCCTGCCCGGACACGCAAGATTCCGTGGTGGTTAACTGTCCGGTTAGGTTTGGACGCTGAAGTCATCTCGGCTTTAGGAAGTTGTGCTTTGGTAGCACTTTCTAGAATGTGCCCTGTCCACCCTTGGCGATTCCATGTCGAGTCCCCATTTGTTTGCTTCTTACCTGGACTCCCTGCCTCTCTTTTCAACTCAGTGTCACTGGGTGATGCAGTGGGGCCGGCGGGACATGGGCTGCGGCACCATCAGAATCACTGCTGCTTGGGGTTGGAAGAGACGGGGGAGGCCGGCCAGTGGCCAGATGTCAAGTCCCCGCTGCATCTCTGAATAACGCCTGTGCTTAGGAGGAGCGCCCTGGTGGCACATTGGTTATGTGTTAGGCTGCTAACTGCAAGGTCAGGAGTTTGAAATCACCAGTTGCTCCGTGGGAGAAAGACGAGGCTTTCTACTCCCATAAAGAGTTACAGTCTCAGAAACAGGAGCAGTTCTACCCTGTCCTATCGGGTTGCTGTGGGTTTGTAATGACTCCATGGTGGTGAGCTTGGTTTTAGTGTGAGCCTTTGCTTGAATACCCTCTGGGGTTGGGGAACTCACTATCTCACACATTTCCCTGTTTGATTTCCGGATTATACTGTGCTGGTCTGCCTTCTGCCGCAACTTCTCTGTCTAGAAGGAAGTCTATAGGGAATGGGGGAAAGTCAGGAAAAAGCTCACTCGCTACTCCACAGAGGGACACATTCAAGAGGCTACCTTAGGTCACTTTTATTTTATTTTATTTTTTTCCTTAGGTCACTTTTATGTCGACTCCTTTTCCCCACAGTGTTCTGCGAGGTAGCCTTGGCCGTGGCTAATCCCGCTAATAAACTCTCCGAAACAGCTCAGCCACTGAGCAGCAGGCTGGGGCGCTGGCTGGCCTTCGTGCCGCCTGCCCAGCCCCCATCAAAGAGCGGTAACTGGAGCCGGGAGGGAGGAAGGTCACCCCAGAGCTGTCTAACCCGTCGGGTCTCTGATGGGAATTAGGTCACGGAAGATGAGAAAGGGACACTCCAGCAGGTGGCAGCAGGGAAAGTATTTGGCAGCACAGGGGACCCTCCAGGTCCCTCAGCCCACAGGCAGGCAGCCTTCTGGGTCTGCCTTCCCAGGTCCAGGTGCTCCGCTTGGGAATGATCCCGTGGGCAGGACTGGGGGTGGGGCAGGATGAGCCTGAGGGAGGCCTGTGGGCCAGCGGCAGAGGCGGGGAAGTCAGCCTAGCATCCTGGCTTTTGTGGTGCTCCCAGGCTGGGGGAGGGGAGATGCATGAATGAAGGGCTACTGCTCTGTCCCGCAGGTGAACAGCCTCTGAGAGTGGACTGCTGGGGCCCACTGTACCTTTGTGCAGAGGAGTGAACCCCTTCTCGGGGCCTGCGGGGTGTGTGGAGGGGGGGTTGCTACATAGCACCCCCTTCAGCAGGACAGCCTCTCTCTGCAGCTTTGCCTGCTATTCCCTCCCCAGAGGGTGAGACAGGCCCAGACAAACCCGAGACTGCACAACCCACCGTGGAGCCAGCCCTTGGAGGAGCACTGGAAGCTGGGGGTGGGGGTGGCTAATCCTCCTGAAAAGTCCTAATCCAAGGACACCCGGCAGAAAAAGACTTTGATCTCAGCCACCAAATGCCTTCACCTTTCTCCCTGTCATCCTGGGACTGCCCCTCTGATAAGGTGGTGAAGTCAGGGGAGCTGGGACACACTGGAGCCAAGCCTCCCGCTCCACCCTGCCCGCCCCAGGCCGGGCCTCTTCCGGAGTCCAAGGGAAGGTGGCCGCCCTGTGAGCACACCTGAGTGAGCCCAGATCCACCTTGTACAGCCCCGGGAGATGACTACAGCACAGCGTCTGAGCCTTTGTGGGGGGTCTGCCTCCTGCCCTTGACCTTGACTGTTGCTTCTGTAGAAGGAAGCCAGTTCTCTCAGACCTCTCAGATGCCGGGTCTCTGTGCCTGCTTAGTCTTAACCCAGCAAATGAACTACGTACATGTCACTGTCCCTATTTTACAGGCAAGGATAGGGGGTTAAGTCGTTTGCTAAGAATCATAAAGGTACAAACCGGAGTCCGACCCAGGCATCCATGCTTGTAACCTCTTCCACCCAGGCCTTTATTCCAAGGCACCGATAAGTGGATCCAAACTACCAAACTTGACGGGTTAGCAGCTGAACACTGAACCCTCTTACAATAGGAACTCTGCCTGGCCCGATACCCACTGCAGCTCTCTAACTCCTGCCCCTCACACACCAATCCAAGTACACCTGCAGGCTGGGCTGGTTTTTCTAGAATAACTTCCCCTTTGCCCCTGGCCCTTCCTGCCCTCACCCACTGCCTACATCCGGCAGGCTCACCTCAACACACACCTGTTATCTAAGTGCGGGCAGCAAACGCCCAGAATCAGGGCTGAAGGCCAAGAATAGAGCCCAGCCTCACTGCTGAGACCTCCGTGCCCTTGGGTAGGACTCAGCCTTGCTTTCCTCCCCTGTAAAGTGGGAGTGAATAATAGAACCTTTGATAAACTGGGCACCATAACGCCCCAAAGCAAATGTTACTCTTTCTCTTGGCCTGAGTTAATACTGTTCACTCCCACCACGTAGATGTGTCACTCCCCGCCCGTCGCTGGGGAAGGCTGGGAAGAGGATGGTTTCTGGCCAGACCTCTGGTATCAGATGGAAACCTCGGTCTGCCCATCAGCAGCTGTGTGATGTGGGGCAAGTGATCTCACTGACAGAAACACGGAGCCCTAAGAACATCTCCTCCATAAGGCAGC